GCACCCAGTTAAGTACTTGTAAACAAAACAAGCTATATCCATGAAGTAAAGATTCTTGTGAGCCAAAATAAAATAAAATAAAGGGGTTCTAAATTCAGAAATATGTTTAGTCCCACTTTAATAGGCTAACATAGTATTGGAATAGATGATAGAGTTCATGTTTTGCTATCACTCATTTATGAAAAATTATCACGTTTCATACCTTTAATGAACTATATTTTAGCATGCATGTGAGAGCTTTGTGTTGAAAGACTAAAGTTGAGTAAACAATGCAGTTAATATAAATGAATTTTTTTCTCAGTAGATACTTTATGCCCAAGGGAAACTTTTACCTTACTATTGGAGTTTCCAAAATAATTGGGATTGACATGAACCTTAAGGTCATAGTTCCCCCAGTCTTGTTGTTCCTCTAGTATTGAATTTGCCGAATTCACAACAGATGGCGGACATCCATACAAGATGATTTGCTGAAGAGTTAGAATTTCTCCAATTCCAGAAGGGAAGCATTTTAAACTCTTGCAACCCCTAAGATGTAGGCACTGTAGGCTTGGGAAATGTGCTGCCTCGGCTTCCCAGATTTCAAAATGAAACGCTTCAACATGCAGGAATTTTAATCGAGAAAATTTCCCTTCCATTTTCCATGCTTCGTTTTCGAAGTCTACATCTTTTAATTTGAGAACTTCAAGATTGGGAAGATTACCAACAAGAAACATATTATGCCCAGAAATTTTGCAAACACTCAAAGTTAACTTCTTCAGATTTGGTGGGAAAGCAAGGTTCTGAGGCAGAGAAACATTTGTCCAACCATCGAAAATGAGTTCGCACTTAAAACTTTCAAGTTGATGCAGATGGACTAAATTCTCAAGACAATAGAATGACAACTCAGTATGAGGTTCACAATGGTAAGAAATTTCCAATGTCTTCAGGTTAGGAATTTGTCGAAGGGCCTCTTGAGTCAATTTGAAATCTATTACACCAGAAAGTGTTTGTAGGTTCACATTTTGTAGACCATCAGAACAAAGCAAGACACCTTTATTGAACAAGAGATGCCTTAACTGTGGCATCTTCAAGAGTTCCCGTGGTAAGAGCAATCTTTCAGCAGAAAGATTTCGAAAAACAATAAAGGTCTGAAGATTGCAAAGTTTAGATATTGAGGCAGGAATCATGGATCTCCCACTGTAGGTCAAAGCAATATACCTTAAATTAGAAAGTGTCAATATTTCCATTGGAAACTCAAAGAAATCTATATTGCCTGTATCCAACACCCTGAGAAGTTGAGAACATGGAGAATTTCTCAATAGTCTCTTTGTGAAGTATAGAAGTGAACGAAAAGTTGAGCTTTGAGAATTTCTCACCACTGCATTCTTCCCATTTGGATGAATACTTAGGTGACGCTGATTTTTCAAGACTTCCGAAGAGATCTCAAATTCTTGATTGGCGACATAAAGAAACTTCTCCTCCTGAGCTTTCCTCATGCAAAGTTCTCTCATGGTGTCATG